CAATGTGGTGTTCAGCAACCCTAAAGCCAAAGCTGTCTCCAGAAGACTGATTAAACCCTTCCACATTTAGCCTCTCAAACTTAGCAAGATTCTGGGTCTCTATTCCATGGTAAGTTAAGTCTTGTTTCAGCATTTTCTCTGTAGTAAAAGTACCACCTCTTTGTAAGGCCATTTATTTCAAAACACAGTAAGAGTTAGGTAAAGGTTCTATAAATTACTTCAACGAAAGTTCACAGTAAAGGCTTTGATAACAGCTTCTGACCATCCCTTCATTGTATCACCACCACCATTACAAGATAAACTCCGTGTCGTTCGCCTTCATGCAACTGTCTCATGACAGAGGAATGCTTGAATTTGACCCATCACAGGCATACTTCTACTACACCAGGACAGAAGAAATCTCTGGAAAGCAAGCTCCCAGAATCAATAACCCAACTAATTGTGCACAATATCCAAATCTGAGGACGTCCTAGTGCAGGAAAGAGAGTGCCAGGGAGCTAGATTATTAGTCGCAATGAGCCAAATCTAATCTGCAGGCTACATCTCACTTGCTCCAATCATTAAAATATATTAACTCCACAAGAAGCCACTTTTTGAAATAACTGAGCTGCAAAAGAATATCAGGTCTCAACTAAGAAAGTCCAGAATCAGTTAAAACATTAGGATTTTTCAGAGGAGAATAAGCTCAGCAAACTAATCCATTAGAAGTGCAAATCAGAGTTATTGGTACGCTACGTGAGCATTTTATCACCTGTTGAGCAACAGAGAGTAAATGAACAGCAAAGCACTGGGCTAAGAAACGGAAGAAGCATTCATTGAAAAAATTCTCCTAACTTTCCTCGTAATTTGGGCAGATGTTCATTAAAAGGCATGTCTGTCTACTGTCAGATTTATGACCGTGTTCAGAACAGAAGATGCCCTGATCTTATATTCTCTCATAGATATCTTCAGTGGATTGGGCTAGACTGGTCAAACCTTGTAGAGTGCTTCTTTGATTTCTCATTTATAAGAATGTAAGAAGTTCAGATTGAGTGGGTCCCCATCTTATCTCAAAGCTCATTGTCATTTTTGTTTTGCTCATGTGAAAACAGCTGAAGACAGTAGATTCAAAAGTATATGAAGGCTTTGAGTTACACGTTTCTACCATTGTCACTCTATCCAAATAAAAATACAGGTAGCCCTGTCCTCGAAATGATTTTGCTGAGTATACAGGCAGCTGAATCAAGCAGGTGAAATTGGCCACAAATAAGCTCTGTAATTGTTTTGTGGGCACGTAGTGCATCTTTTTGTTGATTTAAGTTACAGGACCACATTTGTTTCAAGCCAAATCTTAAACTATTTTATTAAACTGTTCTATTTTCAAGTTCTAATTTCTTTGCCGAAGGCTTATTGACCTGGTTATCACACATTGATCCTAAATGTAGCATAATTCATAGACAGAGCATTCATGGATGTACTCTGTTCTACTTCCCTACTTAGCACAGGAGGGTTTGTGATGACTCAGGCAAAGCCACTCATTTATTAAAAAGGAAGCATTAGATGGCTTGAATAAGATCTAATCTCATCTAAGGAACCATAATTTTGTGCCTAAAACAACAGACTCAAACAGCATTGGTATGATTTTGGAAGCACTTGTGCATAAGAGTAACATGCAACTTTTCTATACCATATCAGTCCTGACGGTCTGAACCGTATTCACTAGAGGAAAAACTGGTAAGTTGAAAGAAAGCTTTTAGCTACACTGAGGCTCTGAAATAAAAATAACATATCCTAAACTATTTGCTGCTACCTCTTTCCACTCGTAAAAAGTCTTCAAAATTAAGACAGGACTTGAGCAGCCTTAGTTCACTTCACCATCGTGTAAAGGAAATGATTTTAAAATTCAAATTCGCCATAGCAACATGTCACAAGAACATCACATCAGTAAGTGCTATGAAAATTGTTTATTAAAAGGCAGAAAGTATTTTTTCATATTTTTTTTCAGATAAGTTCTAAATTGTTTTTCCACTTAGTCAGTGAAGAACTATTTCCTAATATCATTTGGAAAAAAATTAAAACTACCACCTTAGGTGTTAAAACGACGTAGAAAGCTGAAAAGCTCCCAACCTAAGTCAAAAACTGTGCACAAATCATCACTGCATCCCCTTGAAGACAATGCTTCTTCGCAAGGACAGAAACCCTATTGTAAAATGAAAAATAGGTTTCAAAGTTTATATAAAATATGCTTGCAGTAATAGTCCTTACTCTAAATTTTAGGAAGGTTTCACCATTCTATATGTTCCTCTGCTTGGAGTAAACATATGCATGCAGGTAACAACTTGAAAGCAGCAACTTTTAAAGTCAGAATCAGCAAGACTTCAACAAAGTGAAAAACAGAAAACACCCAGAGCAGTATTTAAGGAGGCCATTCAGAGGGCTTCCCTCAGAACCACTTCATTCCCAGTTGAATAACTCTAGAGGATGAGTGAAGCATAAATGGAGGACTTAGGATTCATATGTACATATGATACATTGGAGAAAAAAAATTAACGTTTAACTCATTTTCTACAGGTTTGTGGCTAAAACCTGCAATACATTAATTTTACCTGCTCTCGGTAAAGACATACAAGAAACTGAAAATGAAAGACGAATAATTTAAATTGCAGTAAAACTGCACCTTGTTTAGATAATTCTACTATAAAAAAGGCATAAAGACTGCCGTTTTTCAGTAAGCTTACAAAGAGATTGTGTATGCTATATTTTAATCTTTTTATTACCAGTTGGATTTGCTGAATGTAAAAGTGATTTACTCCTTTCCCCAAAGTTTATTCTACCTTTATTTTATCCCCACATTTACCTACTCCATTTCAATATAAGTGTGACGATACAAAGATTCAAGTGTTTAAAGATCTAGAACACTGGAAGTTTTCTCTCCAAGTATTCATAAAACTGGATGCAGGTTTTGAACATTAGTCTTTAATAGCTTACCCAGAGAAAATTCTGAGTAAATTTATTTTTTTCTCTGTCAATACTGTTATACAAATAACAACACAGTCAATATATTTATTGTGTTCTCATATACAGAACATCATCTTCAGTAGAATCCCAGTTGAAAGACTATTTGAAAACATGGTTATTTTCAATTGGAAAAGGTTTCAAAGCTGTAAAATTGGCTGGAAACTAAAAGAATACAACCACCTTTGCAATCTCTCTCATCTACTGTGAGCCAAATGAGGTATCAAAAGGAACATGCAATACAGAATATGCATTTAGCTATACTTGAGCGATCAAAGGTGTACAATGTCAATACCACCACCATATATTTATTTTGATCAACTTTAAAAAAATATTACAATAGCATATAATGGTTTAAGATCTCATAAGCATAAACTCAAAAAGTTGTAATGGTCAATAGTAAAGCTACAAGGGGAACAAAAAAGGCCCTTAAAAAGGATTTGAAAAGAAAACTTTAAAAAGCTTTCGCAAAAAATCACTCTTCTGTTTTCTGTTGGAATGACATCACTCTTCTGTGAACTACAGCAGCTTCTATGCCCCATTTTGGCCACTTCTCCCACAAGCTTTCATGATTTCTCAATTGTCATTCCTGGTGTCTGGAACACCCACCTTCTTTCTCGTGAAGTCCAATTCTAAGATCCACTTCTGCAACATTGCCTACAGAAAAAGTAGGCAACTAAAACACTCATTCACCGTGTCAACACCGTACCAAGCATCAGCTTTTACCGTGTACACTGTACAGCATAGCACTCATGTCACTTTACCTTTCTTACTACACTGTGATGATTTCTCCCTCATTGTGTCAAATCTAGAAGTGGGGATTTAATATTTAAGAACCACTTCGGAGAAATAATGTCTATTGGTTTTGAGAGTGCTAGCTGCACCTCTCAGTGCTTACAGAAAGGGAAGTATGTTGGACATTACAAATATTCCATTGTGCCTATATGCATCTGTGGTATATACACATATGTAATGGGCATAAACAGAAAGGAGTAGCCTATTTAATTTTCTTTACACTGGAGTACATTTTAATGCTTTGCTGGCTCACCTGAAATTTTTCATCAAAATAACTTACGAAACTGAACTGGAAAGCTTCATTTAAGCATGTTTTTGTTGTTGTTGTTTCATTTTGTTTTAAAAAGCCTTCTACTCTAAATCTATTTCCATCTCTGAAAATCTGGATTAAAATTCATGTAACTAAGAGTCTAGGAAATGTTTATTTTTACATAGGTCAAGGTCTATCAATACTATGTTCACATCTGCTATTAAATAACTACGTTTCTGGACAGCCATAGAGGTAGACCTGAAGCAATGACACCTTTCTGAAAGTCTGAAAGGGTTTTTTTATTATTTTGTTTAGTTAAAGTCTAGTCTATATGTTGCTTAGACATATTAAATTCAAGCCTGTCATGAGATGGTATTACTGACCTTCAGGTGACATGAACTTCAAGTCATGCTTTCAGTATTCCATGTATTTCTACATGCCACTCCATACAGAAGTGAAATGCTTTCTAGCTAAATTATTTATTTTAGTAAAGCAGAGCTTCAGTGATGTCAATGCAGTTCTAACATAAAATAATGCATTACCAAGGGAAAAAAACATTCAAGAATGATTGGTTTTGTACGTTTGTGTCATTACACATGGGAGAAATATCTAAATTAGAATACTTACACAGACAAGCAAGCTACACCAGGCATTTTCAGAAACTAAACACAGTTGAAGATGTAAAATGAAAAACTACAACGAAAAACATGGTAGACACAAATGCAAGATATAATCAATAACCCCATTTAAGTTACAAATACAATTCTTAAAGATTGAAAAATAAAACCTTGGCAAGCATATGGAAGTTTACATGTATAAACTCCCTAAAATTAAAACACTTGCCATTGAAAACACAGTCACGCACAGCTTAAAGCTAAGTGAAGCCCTTCCTCACATACATTTCATGCACTTGAAGCTATCTCGCTATTGAAATGGGAAAAGACAAGTTTATTCAACTTACATCTTTTTCTGATCGATGTGGGAACATCGATGATTGGCTGTAGTACATGTTCTCCTCATGGTAGTCACCATCAACCCCCTCTACAAACTTCTTCCTTGAAGCACCAAACATGCTGTTTGTCACCTAAATAAGAAAAAAATTGATTATATGAATACATGATTTGGTTTTATACATACTTAGTATACAATTTATACATATGTAAGGATTGTTAAAAAAAGTTTCTAAACATCTGAAAATTCCTCTTTAAAAATATTTTATGTAATATTGCCAATGTAATGGTTCTTTCAAGTGGGATTTTCATGTGACAAACTCACATTTCAGAAAGGACTGAGGTGGGGAGAGAGGACACACTTCACATTTTTGAGGAGTGTTGGTTGTGTTTTGAGTCTCATGACCTTTCACTCAGGTTTATTTAATTACAGAATATCAGAAAAGAGAGCAAATTCTCAAATTTTCCTCTCCTCAGGTAAACACTTTCAATCTCAAAGAAGAAAAATAAAAATCTGTGAAATCACTTCCATGTCTCATCATCACAACTTTGGAAAAGCAGCTTTCTGCTCGACCCTGTGAACTCAGAGCCATGATTAAGCAAGAGAAGGTGGACTATCTACACTCAACAACCTCATCACAGACTGGCAAAGTTACTGCAGATGGCCCATAAAAACCCACTAGATTTTACTTTGCCCTTACTCCCACAGGCGCACATGCAGTCAGAGCTGCTAAGTCAGGAACTGGAAACGAGAAAAACAGCAACCACGCAACTGGTCACAGAACCTTAATTCATTAGAAAACTTAATCCCGCAGCAAGGTCATACAACATCGCTAAAGCACCTACCGCATGCAGTGCATATTTACACACCTGACTCTTATTTACGTAAAGATACACATGCCTCTATTAATTCTCTCATCTATCTGGCTATCACGGCACAGTGTGGGCTAACCAAGCCCTGGTTTAACCTAACAGGTCAATGTTCAAACCTGCAAAACGGCACATACTGGTCAGCACTGAGCAACTCAGCCAGTTTCTTGTACCATATGCGGAGACTGGAGAGAGTGCAGCCAACAGGATGGTAATCGACCCTGAGCTACCGCCCTACACAACATACCTTCAAACAGATCTTTAACACCTTGAAAGGTAAGGAAGCTAAGTTACAGTTAGCTTATGAAATGCTCTGAGCCCTAAGATTTACTATCTTCACTACTGACAGCATTAGCTGAACTTAGAGACATATGACAAATTTTTTTTTCTTTTTAAGAGAGTTGTTCTTCCCTACCTTAGGTTCATGCTTGAAATTGAAATTTTGAATTATTTATTCTGGTTGGCTGCAAGGAGAGCTACTTTCAGCTTGAAATCCTCTTATCCCTACTGACACAAAATTACTCTGATATTCCTCAGTGTGGCTTATTCAAATTTCACCTTTACTGAGGAAGATTTCTAGGCAGTGTTTAATAACATGGGAGCTCCTATACTAAAAACAACTTAACCACATGATTTCAAAGTCGTAGGAGTTTTGAGTAAAAGTAAAGTCAAGACTTGGGATGCATTTAATATAGCTATAATGACAGAATTGCCCTAAACGTTCAGCTAAAAACTACTCCTACAACAGTGTTTCAGATATTTAGACTACTGATATCGTAAAAACAAATTTATAATACTACACACACGTGAAGGTATGTAAAGGTACTGCACATCTTCTCCAAATGAAACTTGTATTTCATGATATTTACAAAAATGTGCAAATATAAGGTCTCAAACTGCTCGAATGCATTCAGCTGACTTTCACACTTGTAGTAAAGCTTTCATTACACTGTAAGCATGTCCCACTGTGCTAATCCCCTTACAATGCAATTATCACCTACCAGATGGGATGGAGCATTTAACAGGCTAAGGGGATTATCTTGTCCTTTGCTCTGCCTCAGTAAAGTGCGGAGGGACCAGCAGTTGCCTTTAACCGCTGTAAAAAGGATAGTAAAATTCTTTGGTGAAGCTATGCCAAGCAATGAGGAAAAGCTCAGTGTCTCAACCAACTACTACTCTTGAGAAAGTAAAAGGCAGCTTCTCACAAGTCCCAAAGAATTTTTTGGTGTTCCTTTAACAATACCTGGGATAAAAGAAGAAATTGTTTTTTGCCACATAACCTTCTCTTGTCATGCATCATCAGAAAAACAAAATTTAATTGGGATAGAAAGCAAGTCACTGAAGTGTACACAATACTGTACTAATGTAATACCTAACCCTGAGCTACAGTACAGGAACTATATAAAAGGAAAAAAAATGTTTCTTTCTTTGACCCCATAGCTTTTGGTCTTATTTCCACAAAGGTTTATGCATGGCTGGCTACACACACACACCGTAAAGATTTCTGAGTCAGTGGGGTAAGGTCAGAGCTTCCAGTCTGAAAATATTTGTTTAAAGCTGCTGCAAGGAAGCTAGTATGTCCAAATATGAAGTCTACATACCGAAAAGTTGAAAGATACTTCAAACACTCTCCACTAAATTTAAATTGTCTAAAAGATTATTTCCTAAACTGATAAGTGTATAAGACAGCGGCTCACAAACTAGTCAAGATTATGCCCTGAAGACTGATGAAGTGCACTGATATTAATATGGAGTCTTACAAGAACACAGTTATTAAAAAGGAAAAAAGAAATAAAAAAAGGTTTAAATAATTAGATGGATTAAATATTTATATTTTTATTGGCAACCCATATTTCTGCACAGTAACTAAGAGGACCATGCTGCTGGACTCCAGAGAGCAGAGCAGCGCATCGCAGGCTGCAGCTGCAGGGGAAGAGGGGAAGGGTGGAGAAGCCTCGCCTGCAACCCAGCTGCATCGCTGCGCCCCACTGCTCTGAAGACCCTCAAAAACTTTTTGCAGAGACTGACACTTCTTCACAGCACGATTTTTGTAAGTGATTCCGTGCCGTTCAGCTGTGCTGTTCTGTGTTGCCAAGCAAAGCAGTCGCGTGCAGTGCTCAAGCTGTCCGCGCTCCCTCCGAGGGAAACGGCACAGGCGCTGGAGGCCATTCTGGCAGCTGCCTGCACCCCTGACAGCATTTCATTGCACTAGAGAGAACCACCACTTGTTCTCAGGGTGAACCACGGCATGGATCACACCAGAGAAATGTGGTGTTAGAAGTCACGCTGCTGTCCAGCCCTATTGCAAAACCAACAGGTCGATAAAACAAGGCAGCTGCTAAAGACCAGTAACTGAAAGGGCAGGAACTGGGATTAAAGACTGAAGCTGCAGCTGCCATAGCCAGGCTGCTTGCTTCTTCCTTCTTCTTCTGCTAACACGGCAGCCAATTTATCTACTTCTCAGTAGTCATTGGTGAGAGTAAACGGATGGCAAACTTCTGAATCATAGCACCTATCCCCATGCAGACTTTTATAGTATTACAGCAGGTTTATGCAATGACAGCGTCAGATGGTTGTCTAGTTAGCAGCAGGCATCTTCCTATCCACATTAACTTATTCCAGTATTAACTAAAATAATTATTAGTCAGTCATGCTAAAAGTGTATGCACAGATATTGAAAAAACGCTCTTGCAGTACTATCTGTAAGAAGGTGTGAGAATAACTGAGGCTGTGCCAAACGCAGGCAGATCTGCGGATGGAACTTTTTTTTCTTGTTTCTTAGGACAAGAAGAATCATAGAATGGTTAGGGTTGGAAGGGACCTCAAAGATCAACTAGTTCCAACCTCCCTGCCACAGGCAGGGAAACCCTCCACTACACCAGGTTGCCCAAAGCCTCATCCAACCTAGCCTTGAACACTTCCCAGAATAGGGCATCTACAACTTCTCTGGGCAACCTGTTCCACTGCCTCACCACCCTCAGAGGGAAAAATTTCTTCCTTATATCTAATCTAAATCTGCCCTCTTTCAGTTTAAAGCCATTGGCCCTTGTCCTATCACTACATGCCCTTGTAAAAAATCCCTCTCCAATGGAAGGCATCAGGAAACCTCACACACAAAGACTGCAGCTCCTTTTTCCTAGACAGATAGATCAGTGTCCAATCAGCTATAAAAGTAAACATGGCAAAGTTCATGCAGTGCTTATAAATACATTTTAAACCCTTTGGAAAGTAACAGTGACTTGAGGTTTTGTACCTGCACAGGGTCTAGACTGATGAGGTGAAAGGCAGAAATCAGCTCTTGTATTTTGGTCCCTCATTCATATATATAAACCTATATACACACACACATTTAAGCCAACACAATCTCACAGAAGTGGTACTCCAGTTGCATGGCAATTTTGTTAAGTAGAGAATTCCTGTCTGCTCAGCCTAATTTCACACAGAAACCTCTCCCAATCCCGTAACTACTTTTTCTGTTCTACTGTGGGAACTCAGTCCTCTGTTGCACAAGACACACTGGCAGTGTAACCATTAATGAAAAATGTAAAAATGGTGTACTTCTGTCAATCCGTCCTTTGGTAGAATAATGCAAAAGTACTTACAACTTCCATTGGTAGACCCACATTCAAATATTATTATAGAAAGCATTTGTGGTAACAGAGGAAGGAGCTACATGTTCGGCTGGAGTTCAGAGAGCTAACCAGCCATGCTGCCACAAACCATGCCCAATTCTGATCAGATGAACACAAGTGCTTCCTGCAAAGCACAAGCACATGTGTTTAAAAATCAGATTTGCCCACAACTTCAGGTTTATGTTAACCAAGCAAAATGCAGTCACAAACCCAAAATAAATACTTCTGTGGAACATTTCCTAACAACAGTCACTACGGGGGAACTAAAAGCACCATACAAATTTTAAAGAACTCGATGCATCTAATAAGCAGATTGCTGCAGTCATTGACCTTTATCCTTCAACTGAGTACGTAACACACATCACCCAACAACACTTACTTAAAAACCAACCAACCATCCCAACAGATTTCAAGAAAAATCCTTTTCACTGCAAGAAACACTGCAGTAGAGCATACTTCAGCACACAAAAACTTGTTTGTTAGCCATAACTGAAAACAGGTTGACATAGAATTTGTAAGGAAAAATGATTAAAATTTTTGTCATCTTAAGCTACAAAAAGATCTTCTCTACAATCACTTATAAAGTGATGCTATGATTGTACATTAAATTAGTTTAACAACCTGAAG